GGAGATTTTGCCAAGAAAAACCCAATAACAAGTAATAACAACAATAATATCATCATGGTAGGCGGCAGCAATGGCGGCAGGACTGGCCTGGGGCCGGTCCAAAGGCCTCGGGGGGCCGCATCCGGCCCCCAGGCCTTAGGTTGCCTACCCCTGGTTAAAAAGATACATAATATCCAAAACAATCCCTCCCCCCCTTAAAACAGCATTAAATCAAAAGGGATTAAAACAGTAATTCCAACAATATAAAATTTAGACATGATGGAAATGAATAGGATGACAGCTTTACTAAATGAGAAACCCACCAGTGTTTGGGATAAAAAGATTGGAACCCTCTGCTAAACTTTTCTGTGAAAAGAAATGGTTAACTAATCAAACATAGACTCAGTAATAAGTAATAAATAATTGAGTTAGAAAAATGGCTACTATATAATACAAAAATACACAACCAATATTTGGATTAAAAAACTGTTTTGCAGCTAGATTAGTTAAGACACTCACAAATTTAAAACAAAACTGAAAGATGAACAGATGAAGGCTAGGAAATGGTGTAATAACAAACCAGAAAAAAGCACAATCTGACAAATACAGAGACTAGATCAGATGAGAGGTGGATGAACTGGAAAAACTGTATTATTTTTTCAGAAGATTTTTTTTTAAACCAAACAAAAATATGGTATATAATGGGGGATGGGATTTTTTTTATAGAGATGAAAATTTGCCAAGAAAGAAAATGTAAAAAAAAAAGTAAAATAAAAGTCTGGTCTAACATAGTAAAATTCTGGCAAAGTATTCATAAAACAATAATGGAAATAATAGACTTACCATTTGTGGCAACACCCGAAATATATCGATTGAACATGATCCACAGAGTGAAAGGGTCAGAAAATAAAAAGAAATTACTCTTGTATATGATAACAATAGCTAGAATTTTAATGGCCCGCAAATGGAAGACAGATGGAACACCAACTATCGAGGATTGGTTGCTTAGATTGATAGATATGTCATTGATGGATAAAAAAGAGGAAATAAGACAAGAGAAAACATATTATGAAACAAATGAGATATGGAATCCGTTATTCCTTTATTGTGATAAAATTTGGGGAGTTATACAGTAAAAAAATTACATGAATAATTTTGACAGATCACTTTGGGGAAAATTTTCATAAAACTAAAGGATGTTAGAATATTACAAAGAGAATAACAAAATAGAAGTTACAGAAGAAAACAATATGTAACAACATAGAGACAGGATATGTCAGTATGGAATCAAAGAGAATAATGAGAAATAGCCAGATGGAAATTATTGTATAAATCATTACTCTGCTGTTTAATGTTATATGTGAATCCTTCTTTTAATAATGTAATATATTTATGTTATAATAAAAAAAAAGTCTGGTCTAACAATGTAAAAATGCCAATTAACTGTTAAAGTTAAATTCAAACAGTCACTGTTTTTCCAGTAAGCGGTTTGGAAAATAGTACCAATAAGCAGATATCTTATAAACATAGCTTGATGGTAATTTTATATACAATTTAAAAATAATGTTGTATTTAATACATTCATTAATTTTGTATGTTATAATGTTGTGCAGAAAAGGATGTCAGGACGCAGAAGTGTCACTCTTTCAGCCACCCATGTGGACAATTTTGGATTTTGGAATATTTACATATACATCATGGTATCTCTTGGAGATGAGACCCAAGTCTAAACATGACATTCATTTATGTTTCCTATACACCTAGCCTCAAAGATATTTTATACACAATATGTTTTAATAGTTTTGTACGTTAAACAAAGTTTGTGTACACTGAACCATCAGAAAGCAATGGTGTCACTCTTTCAATCACCCATGTGGATAATTTTGGAATATTTGCATATACATAACAGGATCTCTTGGAGATGGGACCCAAATCTAAACATGAAATTCATTCATGTTACTTAGACACCTTATACACATATAGCCTGAAGGTAATTTTACACCCGATTTTTCCCAATAATTTTATGCTTGAAACAAAGTTTGTGTACATTGAGCCCCAAAAAGCAAAGGTGTCACTCTCTCAGCCACCCAAGTTTACAATTTTTTGATTTTTTTCAGATTTTGGAGTATTTGCATATACTTAATGGGATCACTGGGAGATGGGAACCAAATCTGAACATGAAATTCATTTGTGTTTCCTACACACCTTATACACATAACACATGAAAGTAATTTATACACAACATTTTTTAATAATTTTGTGCATGGAACAAAGTTGGTGTACACTGAACCATCAGAAAGCAGAGGTGTCTCTATCTCAGTCACCCATGTGGACCATTTTTGGATCTGGAAATATTTGTATATACATAATGAGATATCTATCAGATGGGACCCAAATCTGAACATGACATTCATTTACGTTTCCTATACACCAGGCGATTTCATACACAATATATATATTTAAATAATTTGTGCATGAAACCAAGTTTGGGTGAACTGAGCCCCCAGAAAGGAAAGGTGTCACTCTCTCAGCCACCCAGGTGGACAATTTTGAATTTATTTTTTCTTAAGATTTTGGAATATTTGCCTATACATCGTAGGATCTCTTGGAGAGATGGGACCCAAGTCTAAACATGACATTGATTTATGCTTCCAGTACACACACACAGAGCCTGAAGATAATTTTATGCACAATCTTTTTTGAATAATGTGCATCAAACCAAGTTTGGATCCCCAGAAAGCAAAAGTGCCTCTCTCTCTCTCTCAGCCACCTGGCATTTACAAATTGAAAAAGCACCTTGAAAAACCACAATATTGTCCCTTGATTTTTGTGGGTTTTTTAAAATCCAAGCAATGCCCCTTTGCTGCATCTCTCTCATACCAGCCTGGTCCTGCATCTCCCCACTTTATTTATTTATCATCTCTCTAGTCTATTCCAATAAATAAACAATTCTGAGAAATCCCTACCAGAGCATAAAGACCAGGCGATTCCAGGCGTGGTTTTTCCAAATCTGTATACAGCCAGAAGGATTTTAAAAATAAATAAATAAATAAATCAAAACAAAAGCCAAAACCTTCCCCCTCCCCTCTGTATCCCTTTCATTTCCGGTTCTCATATGACTCCTCCACTTTGGAGAAGAGTGGTAAACATTCATTGCAATCTATATTTCTAAATCAAATAGCTAGGAAGGACTTTTGTCATCTTAAAGCACCACAGTGTGTATGTGGGGTTTGTGTCTCTTCAAATGTTTTGAATAATCCATTTATTTATTTATTATTTCATTTTATATATGCCACCTTTCTCCCAGAAGGGTCCCAAGGTGGCTCACAGATAAAATATATATATATATATAACAATATGTTTTTAAAAAGCAATTAAAATCCTCTTAAAACAGTATTAAACAAAAGTGAAAAGGCGTGACTAAAACACACATGATCAATCTCTGTCTGATCAATGTTTCATCCAAGGTACAGGAACCCTTTAACTATGCTGAGGCTGAGAGAGTGTGACTTGCCCAAAGTCACCCAGGGATTTTTATGCTTGAGCAGGGATTTGGACCCTGGTCTCCAGAGTTGTAGTCCAATGTTCAAACCACTACACCATGCTGGCTTTCTCTCTCTCTCTCTCTCTATATATATATATATATTTAAATTCTATCCTCTCTGTGTGCATTTATTTATTTATCCTTTTGTCATTCCTAGCCAATTCAGTGGCTTTTGTACCACAGGGCAGTACCTCGTAGTAAACAGGCATTCTTCCTAACGAAAAAGGAACTTATTCTGTTACTTTGGAGAAATGGAAAATAAAGTGGAAGGAAGGATACTTGGAAGACCACCAGATTATTTTATTTTATTTTTTATAAATTTTATTGTTAAATTTTTTAAAAAAACAGATATCATTTCAAACACATTCACGACATTCCAAATTATTACATTCTCATTGCTGACTTTGTCAATTATCTATTTTCTGTTTTTGGATCCCTGTGATTAATTACACAATATATACACTTTAAGCTTCTCAAACCCAGCAATACGTCTTAATTATTTTATCATAAAAGGAAGACCACCAGATTATTTTAGCATTCGCTTTCATGGATCACATTCTGCTTCCTCAGATAGACTGATGCTATCCAAATATATTCCAGTTTCGGGTGGATAGACCCGATGCACAGTTGTGGGACAGAATCAGAAGGGAAATTAAATTCACAGAGAATGGCAGTTACATTGTTAACACTATTGTTACGAGTCAGAATACACAACTAAATAGTAACAAAACTTTTTTTTGGAGGATTCAGAATTATAACTGTAACTGGTTGTTTCTCTTAAAAAGCAACTCTGCAACACTGTCCTGGCGAAGGCCAAGCTCTGTGTTGCTGACCTACAGGAATCCATTGGCTGTCACAGGGATTGTTGGGCATTTCAAGTTTCCTAAGACTTCATCCTTTGTTAAGGAAACAAA